AAACCCCGTCTCTATTCAAAAAAAAAAAAAAAACAAAATCTTTCCAGAGCCGTCAGGTGTGTATAAAATGCTGACCCCTGGTGGATATTTCCTGAACTACTCTTTTAGCTACACATGAGGGAGACCCAGAGGCAAGACGTCCAAAGCTAATCTTCCTTCTTTTTAAGCTTTCTCAGGTTTAAAGCTAAGAACCCAATAGATGAGTTTCATTATCTCCAGAAACTTTTATGAGAGAACTGAGCTTAATATCAAGCATGTTGAGATTTGCTGTTGTGGCTTAGGGATTTCATAGTTATGTGAAGAGAAAACACAAGATTATTTGGTTTCCCCAAGATTTGCAAGAATTTTACCCCAATTTGACCCCCCCTGTTGAAGCCCAATTTATGTTCCCCCAAAAACGAAGCTTGAAATGTGTTTTAGCCAGCCTGTGAGTGAGAAAATAGAAAATCTACCTTCAACCCAAATTAACATGTAGTCAGAATGTACTGCTGAGGTGGTACGGAGCTTTTCTTTGAAGTTAAAGCCCATCTCCCTCCTTTGTATTGACAGACCCTGCCAGGGCCAGGCAAGAGAGCTGGGAGGATTTGATCTCAGAGTCCCTGACTCAGCACTTATGGGGTCCAGAGGGCCTCAACCCTGGCATCCTGATGTCCTTGTCCCACACCCAAGTGAATCAGAACCTCTGGATGGATGAGGTAGGGTACTTTTGGTAAAAAGCTCCTGCAGGTCAGTCTGATGAGGACACATATCTAGTTTAATTCCCTCCTTTTATGAAAACTGAGGCCTAGGGAGGGGAGGTTACTTGACCAAGGGCCCCCCAGTGAGTTTGTAGGAAAACTCTGACTCACCAATGAAAGACTTGAATTCAGCCTTGAATTTTCAAATAGTTGTCCTTGACTCTGTAGTGTTGTAGTAGGTCAGGCTCACAAGTGACAGAAGAAGCCACACTTGTCTTGAGGCTTGCTTGTCTTCCCTCTCTGTGCTTTTCTTTCCCATTTCAGCTCCTCCACCTCGGGGTCACCTGTGCACCGCCTCCCAGTTGAACAAAAGCCTCACTTAAGCATGAACCCAGGCCTGGCTTTCCAAATCCATGGCCCCTGCTTTGTGCTGTATAAATGAGCCAAAGATGGCCTCTGCATGCTGGCCCCTTGATTATTAATTTCTTCACTGTAGGCTGAGACCAGACCTGCAAAACCCCACCAACCAAACTCAAATGTTTGCATATCCATTTGCTTTAAACACAGCCCCACTAAGCCTCTGTTAATCCATTTAGAACCTGCCTGCTCTGTATACTCCATGAAACTGTACCCAGTATCTGCTGACCAAGGAAAAGCCCCAAGCCATAAAGGCCCCAAGTCACTGTAGCCCATAGGAGCTCTCTGACCTAGATATTCCCTGCTGTGCTGCTGGGTGACTTCACCTGGCCCTGTAAGCCCTCTTTCCAATTCTCTTCTTTCCTATCTTTCTGAGTAGGACCCCATCTCCACACTATAGCCTCCTTGACCGACTCCTGCTGTAAAGGACCTTCCCCCGTGTAAACCTGTTAAAGCATCACCCAGAAAGCATGTGTGTGCTACCGCCACCTCGTGGTCATATCTTTTTCCTTAATCAACCCCCAAATCTCTGAAAAAACCTTCACTCTGGGCCTTTCCCCTCTTCTAGGCTTGCTTTACAACATTCCCGATCCGAGTCCCCAGTCTTCTCAAATTTGCTGGCCAGTCGAATAAATTAATCCCTATTGATATATCAGTGGCCAATTCATTTATTCACTGGCCAAATATTCACTGAGCACCCGGTATATCACAAGCAATGGCCTTGGCCCTTGAGATACACTGTAGAACAAAACAGACAAAAATATCTGCATGGATTGAGCTGACATTCTAGCAGTGTGATGATGGTTTAAAGTTTTTTCTCTTAGGAATATTTTATGGAACACTTTAACCAAAGTAAGGAAGTGTTTTTATTTGTTTGTTTGTTTGAGACAGGGTCTCACTATCACCCAGGTTGGGGTGCAGTGGCACGATCTCAGCTCACCGCAACCATTGCCTTCTAGGTTCGAGCGGTTCTTGTGCCTCAGCCTCCCGAATAGCTGGGATTACAGGAGTGTACCACCACGCCCGGCTAATTTTTTTGCATTTTCAATAGAGACAGGGTTTTGCCATGTTAGTCAGGCTAGTCTTGAACTCCTGGTCTCAAGCGCTCTGCCCACCCCAGCCTCCCAAAGTGCTGAGATTACAGGCGTGAGCCACCATACCCGGCTAGGAAGTGTTGGAAGTGTTAAGTGCTAAGAGGGGAGTTTTTGCTGTCATCAGTGGGCTAGTGGGACAGAGAGTAAGGAGATGGGCTAGGTTTATAATTAGGAGAATCCCTTTATGCTAGTGCATATGCCAGAACTTATGCACTGTAAGATTGATGCATTTTATTTTATTTATTTTGAGATAGAGTTTTGTTCTTCTTGCCCACGCTGGAGTGCAGTGGCATGATCTCAGCTCACTGCAACCTCCACCTCCCAGGTTCAAGTGATTCTCCTGCCTCAGCCTCCCGAGTAGCTGGGATTACAGGTATGCACCACCATGCCCGGCTAATTTTGTATTTTTAATAGGGAGGGGGTTTCACCATGTTGGTCAGGCTGGTCTCGAACTCCTGACCTCAGGTGAACCACCTGCCTTGGCCTCCCAAAGTGCTGGGATTACAGGCATGAGCCACCACACCTAGCCAATGCATTTTAAAACAGTGCTTCTCAAATTTAATGTGCATGGGAGGTCTGGTTAAGATGATGACTTTAAGTCAGGAAGTCAAACCTGAGATCTGAGAATCTGCATTTTAACTCCACAAGTATGCTGATGGTGCTGATACATGAACTACACTTGGAGCAATAAGGCTTTAAAGCAGATTCCTTTGAGCTGACTCTTCCAGGACTAATAATAATAATAATATGCTACTCACCACAGAAGGCTATTGCAAAGATTAAGTAACTTTGTAATAACTCAGCATTGCCTATTATTTGCATTTAGTGGTGGGAAAACCAAGGCTCTGAGGTGTTAGCTAGCTTGCTTATGAGCACCCATTGCAAGCAAGAGAGTCAGAGTGTGACTGCAGAGTCCCAGAGTTCACCCATGTGACTATTTTGCTGCCTTGCCTGTTTCTAACCTGTAGCTTGCTGCTTGACCTAGTTTGTAAGAAGAGTCTTAGCCTTGGGTTTTACCTTCTGTAACATGAAGGGAGGCTGCATATAGACCCTCACAAATATGAGCTGCTATTGTTGTCATTAAGCCTTGATGAGTTTTCTGCCTTGAACCTCCTCTTTCTACCAGGATTAAAAATATATCAACCACACATGCCCTTTTATCACTCACACAGCACTTCACGTATGCCATTACATTCCATCCCTGTATTGTCCATGTGGTACAGGTGCGGCTACTCACTTTTTTTTTTTTTTTTTTTTCGAGACAGAGTCTAGTTCTGTCACCCAGGCTGGAGTGTATGGGTGCGATCACAGCTCACTGCAACCTCTGCCTCCCGGGTTCACATGATTCTTCCACCTCAGCCTCTCAAGTATCTGGGACTACAGGCACCTGCCACCACGCCTGGCTAATTTTTGTATTTTTAGTAGAGACGGGGTTTCAGCATGTTGGTCAGTCTGTTCTCAAACTCCTGACCTCAGGTGATCCACCCACCTCAGCCTTCCAAAGTGCTGGGATTATAGGCGTGAGCCACCGCACCCTGCCAGCTACTCCCGTTGTACATACAAGGAAGAGAAAATTCAGAGATGTTGGGTGACCTCATTAACGTCATAGGATCCTAGATCTAGAGAAGACCTTGAATGTTTTCTCCAGTTTGTTGCCTTTTAGCCTACTTCGTTTAGTTTGCTTTTAGCAATGAAGTCTCCCTTTCAAACAAAGTCCCATGGGAGGTCCAAGTTGTAAAGAAGAGGACTCTGTTGGGAACAGGGTTCAAGGGATGAATCCTGGTCCGTTTATCCTTCCCTCTGCAGGGCTTCCCATTTCCAGAGACCTCAGAGAGAAGGGTCCAAGGAGCTCTATTTGGAAAATCCCCATCCAAGTCAAATAAATGAGGAACAGTCCCCAAAAAGGGAGGTGACTTGACCAAAATCAGACAGCAAGTGCATGACTTCTTAGACTCCCGAGACCAAGACCAGAATCTAACAGAAACAACCTGGGCAGGTGAAAGGACAACACTCCTCACTCGCCTGTTTACTGAGGTGTGTTTGATAAGTGGTCACTCATGGTCTTGCACTCCCACCTACGGGGCCAAATTCAATACTCCATTCACTAATCTCATAATCTCCCAGATGCTCCTTTCCTTACACCCTGGTTGTTGGGGGAGGCAAGTCTTTTTATTTTCTAGGTATTGTGAAATAAAATATACATGCAGAAAACTGCATAACTACATCCATGCCAAGAAATAGAATGCTGTCTGAACCCTAAAAGCCCCCAGGTGCTGCTGCCTGCCACTGTGTCTCCCAGGGGCCAAGTTTCACTGGGCCTTCAGAGACAGCATGGCCTTGCTTCTCTCTGCAACAACATTTCCCACAGCCCTCCACACAACAGCCCCATGTTGCCCATTTGAAACTTTGTATAAATGGAATCACACTGTATGCATGCTTTTGTGATTCTTGTACCCACATTATGTTTGTAAGATTCATCTGTCTTGTGAGGTGCGCTGGCTGTAATTCATTCATTTTCTTTGCCAAGGAGCATTGTGTTGTGTGCAGATATATGATGTACGAATTCATTCTGTGATGCATGCTTGGGTTGTTTCCAGTAGAGGCTATTGTGGACAGTGCTGCCCCACATCTTTTTTGCAGACAGATTTGCTCTCATATTATCCAGGGAGAGGAAGACTGAAGGAAGAAAGGAACTCTCAGAGAAGAGGCAGCCAGGCCCCAGCCTCTGGGGTGCGAAAGACACCTTGGTCTTTCAATTTCCCCAGCACTCTATACTCAAAGCCTGTCAAGGCCAAGGACATAGTCAACAATATAGGCATTTTCAATATTTTATTGTAAAACAGAGCTGAAGTGACAGGAAGTAGGGATCTTTGCAGCCAACATATACAGCACTCATTCGCTGAGTACCTGCCGAGCCAGGCTAGGTGCTCAGCCCTGCATATACGAGTCTTTTTTGCTGCTCTGCAGAGTTCCCAGCCTGGTGGGGGAGACAGGCAGAGGCACAGTCATCTTTCATACACGTCTCCAAGTGCCAGAAACTCTACAATGTCAAGGAGCAATTCATTCCTTCAGCAGAGGAGGAAGGAACCCCCAGGAGCCACATTTGCTCGGAGCCTTAGGAGCTGAGAAACTTCTGATAGGAGGTAAAGTACTGCAGGCAGCTGTAAAAAATCTGGAGTGGAGATGGAGCTCGGAGCCTGGGCAACAGTGCCTGGACAGAGGAGTCCAGATTACGGAAGTGTTTTAAAAGGAAAGAAAAAATTATGGGGCCAACATAGTACCATAACTTTTAATTTTTACAAATTGGGACATCACGAAAAAGAAGAAACAAAATGGGAAAGCTACCATTTACTTTCACCATCATTTCACAAATGCAGGAATATTTTCAGCCCCCAGCCTCTCCCAAAAGAACATAACTCCAAATGAAGTGCTCTCCTTCACGTGGACTAAAAAAAAAAAAATCAGGAAATCCTTAATTTTCATTCTCCACAAACTCTTAAAAACCTTCCTCAGGGACTGGCATTTGTTTGTAAAACAGGATGTGGGAGCCACTTGGTGGGGGGTCATCAAAGGGCCTGATGTATCTGGGGCATGGGAATGTGGAATGAGGGCGGAGGAGGCAGTGGGGAGAGGAGAGCAGGCTGGGCAGGTGGTCGGGGTTTGATCCCGAATGCAGAGGCGACACGGAAGGGCTTTGCGCAGGGGCTGCTGTGCTCTGATTCACATGTTAGAAAGACCATTCTGGAGGCAGCATGGAGGCTGGTCAGTTGAAGAGGAGGCAGAGTCCTGTGACCAGGTTCTTGTGACTCCTTCTGAGGATCCACACCTCAATGGCTTGTCCTCAGTGCCCCCATAGTCGGGAGCCCTGGGGCAGGGGGACTGGCAGTCCCTGCGGTCCTTGCCATGCCAGAATGGGAACAGGCAGGCCTGGGCAGTACTACTCATCCTCCTGGAAGTAGAATTTGGTGACCATGACACCCTTGTCAGGCATATTGGTGAGACTGACGGGCTGGTCTGCTTCCATTGCTGTGCAGAGGAACCAGCCCGGGCAGGCGGCAGACTCGAAACTGGTGGTGGGGCCGCTGTCTGAGCGGACGAAGGCAAAGCGCTTGTCCTGTTTTCTGTTCTTGCTCAGGTCAGTGATGTTAACTGCCTGGAAATCAAAAGATGGGTAGGTGAGAACTGAGGCCTAGGAAGTCCTGTGCTGCCTCCCTCTCCACTCCACACCATGACATGGCCCTCTGGACAGCCCAGAGTTAGTACAGGGGAAATGCTGTACCCTAAAAGCCCCCAGGGGCTCCTGTCTGCCACTCTGTGGGACTCTGGGACCCAGGTTTATTTATTTATTTATTTATTTTCCCCAGATGGAGTCTTGCTCTGTCACCCAGGCTAGAGTGCAGTAGCACAATCTCAGCTCACTGCAACCTCCACCTCCTGGGTTCGATTCTCCTGCCTCAGCCTCCTGAGTAGCTGGGATTACAGGCATGCACCACCACACCCGTCTAATGTTTTGTATTTTTAGTAGACAGGGTTTTACCATATTGGCCAGGCTGGTCTCAAACTCCTGACCTCGTGATCTGCCCACCTTGGCCTCTCAAAGTGCTGGGATTACAGGCGTGAGCCACCACACCTGGACTGGTCCAGGTTTCTTAGGACAGCAAAGACACAAAGAGGCTGTCCCACTGTCACACCTTGATTTTGGGAAATCTGGCCACTCTGGCCTCGGACCAGTAAGTCTGATAAATACACAGCACCATCAGCAGAAGCCAAGGCCTGTAGAGCTGGTGTTCTGTCAGGGTTTGAGATCTGAGGAGATGAGGTGGTGGTGTGTTCCATGCAATGTCCTAGCCATCCCCACTCCTCACAGAACAGGCAGTCACCCTCCAGAGCAGTATCCCTGTCTACTGGTAAGGGATGTGATAGTACCACAGTATGGCCACTCACATTGAGTTTAAGGTTGCATCCAGCAAGCCCCTGAGACAAAGCCATGTTTTCCCAGGGCTGAGAAACCCACTAACATTACATGAGATCAAGGAGCATAGGGCTCTGGGTGGGGCACCAACTAATCAATGTGAGTCAATAAGGACTGGAAGAGAAAGGTCCTGAGGATGGGCTTTTCTAGAAGAGGGCAGGTCCGAATGGGTTGGTGGCCTTTGAGCAAGGGAGTAGCACACAGAGATTCGGGTCCTGTGGGAGACCGTTAGAGTGGTGGCCCCAGTGACTGTGCCTCCTGGTGTTCACATTCCTATGCAGTCCCTTCTCACAAGGGGCTAGACTTAGCCACATGAGTGGCTTTGGCCAATAGGATGATGTAAGCAGAAATTATAATAAGCACCTGCATGTTGAGACTTGTCTTTTTGGAATAATCCCTTTTGAAGTCAGCCGCCATGCTGTAAGGAAGCTCAAGCTGACTCTTAAACACTGAGAGATCATGGGGAAAGAGAGCCTGGAGGATGAGGGACCATCTCAGATGCCCAGCGCAAGCCAGGCACTCTGCTGAATGCAACTGCCAGAGTGAGCCCAGTGTGTTCCACCACGTAGAACAGAACTAACTATCCAGCTAATCCTGTTCAAGCCATAGAATCGTAAGAACAAATTTTGGTTTTTCAAGCCACTGGGTTTTGGGGTGATTTGATATCCAAAACAGGTTTTTACCTCCAGCTGGAGTCTGGTCTCATCACCAGACTTGACACAGGACAGGCACATCTTCCCTCCATGGATTCCCAAGAACAGAGCATGGGGCTCAATAGGTACCACATCTATCTTTTCTGGGGAAGAATAGAGAGGAGGGTCAGGTTAATAGAAGAGGAGGCAGCAATAATGAAGAGACCCTGGGTATTTTTCTGTCTCCCCTGGTCCCACAAAACTAAAATCCCAAGGTCAGAAGGGCAGAGAGGTCTCATCTTCCTGGTCTGCATCTAAACAGAAGATTAAACCAAGCACACTATTCAGTTACTCCTAGAGGCCTGAGTCTCCTGGATGTTGTTCCACATGATTTCCATCTTTCCCTCACTTTCCCCAGGATGCCTGTGCTCCAGGTCAATAGGTGTGTTGCTGAGGGGCAGTGAAAATGGCACAAGGCCATGAGTGGGGCTCCACAGCAGCCTGGGGGTCTCTGAACCTCCTCTTTCCTTAAAAGGCCTCCATGCTCTCATGTAGCAACAAAAATCTCAGCCTCCTTGTGCTTCAGTGTGTTCATTAGGAGAACTACCAGGGCAGGAAAGGTGGGTCTCATCCACTTTCAGAGTGAGGCAGGGGAGACAGAACGAGGGAATAGGGAAGGTGGGAAGGTGGAGGTAATACCATCCTACAACACCAAACAGGGGAGTGAAAACATCTTAGAAGGCTGGAACTAAAAGAATCGCACATCCCGTCATCCAACTGACATCATCCTGCTGAAGGGAAAGCTGAGGAACAGAGTGGGTGAAGCTTCTTCAAGTTCATCCATCTTGTTTAATACATGGACGAGAATATGGCTGAGTATGGTGTCCAGGAATAAGAGACATAGCCCAGCCTTATACATGGTGGATTAATTTTGGATTGAGTTAGGGTTTGAACAACGTAGGAACATGGAGGCTTAATAGGCACTGGAGGAAGGGAACTGTCAACCTTGCCTTCTGGTATTTGCCCTTCCCAGCTGTGGCCCTGGGACTGCTATGCCTATAGTCACTGACCCCTGACTTAGACTCTACCTCTCCATACCCTCTTCAGGCTGCCCTCATATGTGCCCTTTAGTAGCCAGGCCCTCCCAGCTTCAAACTTGAGTACAAACAGCCAATAAGGATTAGGACGTTGCCCCTAGGGTTTGTGCAGGCAGGCCATGCTGCTGCAGACAGAGGGGCAAGGTGACCCAGCCCCCACACACATTGGCTTTCCTGGCAAGCACTTACCTTCTAAATTGACATTTGGTCCTTGCAAGTATCCAGCCACTAGCTGGTTGTTCCTCAGGTAGAAGGTCTTCTGGTTAACATCCCAGATTCTGAAAAGGAAAAGGACTCATCTGTAGTGCACAGCTGCCATGGGCCCAGCCTTGTGCTTAGCACCTTCCTGTGTCCCCCAGAACTTGTCAACTTTGCATCCAGCTCTTCCCGGGGTATGGTATATTAGTATACCCACGGCATGCATGGATGAGAAGACTGAGGCTGACACTGGTTAAGAGGCAGGCCCAACCCTCACAGCTGGTGAGCAGTGAGCCCACATTTGACTCCCCTCCTCGCTTGCTTCCCATCTTAGATTCCCAGGGCAGGCACTTCTGTTTCAGCAAAGCACACTGCAGAGCAGCAACATCCAAACAAACTTTCTGGGATGCAAAAATGTTCTATAGCTGCACTGCCCAATAGGGTGGCTGCTAACCACGTGTGGCTGTTGAGCTCTTGCAATGTGGATAGTGTGACCAAGGGTCTCGATTTTAAATTTTCTTCTCTTTTCATTCAATTAAGTATACATTTAAATAGCCACCTGAGACTAGTGGCTACCACAGCACCTAGTTAGAAGTTTCAAGAGACAGAACACCTTGCAGCTAACTCACTCTGAGCCTTAGACCAGGAAGGTCTGTCCCTAGAGCCTTTCCTCCATTAGCTGGTGACCTGCTCAGAGTCCCGCAGGAGCAGCTGCCCTTGGGAACAAGAAGGCTTCCTCTCTACCTCAGCCAGTGGCTTGCTTCTGGGTCCCAATCCTTTCTTCTTGGTAAAAAGCCTCTCTGGTTGAGAGCAGGACTCAAAGCTGTGAGATGTAATAAACAGAGCCCCAGCCAGCATGTCCTGGGACCTGGGCCTCATATCCTCACCTGTAAAGTGTGGCTAACTCTACCCACCTCATCAGGTGGCTCTGAAGAGCCCACACACTCGACAAGGGGTGGCTGGGCAAACCAAAGTGCTTTGCATATGGCAGCATTGGCCTGTTTGTGATTTCCTAGTTTCTAGATTTAGCCTCAGTCTGGAGGGATTAGACATTGCCTGCTGGGGCCTCCAGGGGGATCTCCTGGAGCTTCTAGCTGATCAGAGCAGGCAGAGGTAACCTGGGGAAGCAGACAGTCCCCATATCTGGAAGGGAGAGACTTGTCACTCATACGCCCACAGAACCTGACTTGCAGCCTCAACCCAGACAAACATAAAGGTCAGATTGGGGGAGAAGTCACCCCAACATGATTTCACTGCTGGAATGTCATGCGGCAGAGGGCATGCACAAGCAGTCCTGTCATTTCTCTCAGCATCACATCTTTACAATAGTGATGGTCTCACAAAGCCCTGATTCCATTTTCAAATCACAATGATTTTCAGGCATTTTACAATGCACAGAATCCTGTTATGCTATTATCTGTGCATTTAACTTTCACAACAACCCTGTAAGGCATACAAGGAATTATCGTGAATCTCATGTCACAGATGTCACAGATGGGGAACCCAAGGCCCCTGGAGAGTGGGACCCTCTGACGTGTCAGCACAGACAGGCATTGCTCGTATCAGTCTGGGCCTTCGGGCTGTGCCCTGGTGCCCCTCTCTGTTTCTCTGTCAGCACATTCAGCTGGGCCTGAATCGCAGCCGCACACCTTGGCATGCATCTATTACTCACTGGGTTGCTGAGTCTCTGGGAAAGTAAGACAGCCCTCCGGTCGTACCATCCACATCTGCGATATTTTGAAATACAAGTCCTGAAGCCCATGCACGTAACAGCCTCTTTCTTGAATAATGGACATCCTCTCCAACCCAAACCCACTTCTCAGGCCCTGTGGGGCCTGGCAGCCCCCAGCAGCTGTGATATGTTTCCAGTCTCCAGCTGATCCACCCTCACCTCCTCCTCCTTGGGGTAGCCTTACCTGAAGGCTTGCATCTTGCTGGGTTTTCTCCCAGAGGGCCGGCCGACCGTCTCTGAATGGAACAGGAAGAGGAGGAGACAGATTAGGTGACTGCCGAGGCCCCTGCAGATTTCCATTCTGTGACTGCAGCAAGAGAGTGGACTGCCATTGCGGGCCCAGAGTTGCGGTTTATAAAGAAATAGTCACTCACCCAAGCTAGGCATCTGCCACCCTGCCCCACTCTGAGAAGCGGAAATACCCTCCTCACATTTCCAAAAAGAGAAACCCTTGCTGTTGTCACTTTCAACCCCGCTAAGTGTCGCAATGGAGTGTTGTAACTGATTCCCTCCCCTTTTTCCCCTGTGCAATTTCCCCAAAATTGAGATTTCTATTTCCCCTTCATTGAGTTCCTGGGAAGAAGAGCACAATGGAAACCAAACTCCCTACTGTGCCTGACAGGTACCTGGAGTCTGTTCGCTGACTTTTTAAAAAACAGATTTGAGCAGAAAGGCCCTTTTTTTCATAATAAAATGAAAGGGTTCCCTGCACATGGGACAGTCTCATGTCACTTTGTGTTCTTTGAAGGATGGACAGCCTTGGACTCCAGACCATAAATTGGCAAACATTCTGTAAAGGACGAGAGAGTAAATATTTTAGGTTCTGTGGGCCACGATTACTCAGCTCAGCTATCTGTTTCACAAAAGGACCTTGGCAATCCATAAATCAACAAGCCTAGCTGTGTTCCAATACAACTGTATTTGCAAAAGCAGGGGATGGACCGGATTTGGCCTGCATCTGCTGACCCCTGATGTAAAGTGAGTCCTCCTGAGAGGTGCTTTAAAATCAACTATTTTCCCACTATCTTACGTCTTTAAAGTTATGGTCTTGGGACGATTACATAAACTCAGCATTTGGACAGGAATGGGTCTAAATTCAACCTCTGCCACTTGCCATGTGCCCGTGTGGCCTCAAACAAATCATTTCATTAGTTGAGCCTCTCTCTCTTCACTCTGAGAATGAGGGTGATCGTGTCTTTTTCACAGATGGATGGAAGGAAGGAAGGGAAAGAAGGAGGGAGGGAGAGAGGAAGCAAGTGTAGGGAGGAAGAGGAGAACTTCTGGCCCATAATGGGTTCTGATACACATTAACTTCCTTCCTTACAATATTCTAGACAGGAAAAAGGTAAGCATGCTCCTATTTTATGGGTAGGAAAAAGGTGAAGAGAATTTCTGCATGATCTACGGGATGGACAGTGCTGGCGCAGAAGTATAGGTTGCAGTGTTTTAGAGCTGGACAGGAGCTTGGCAATCATCCTGTCCCAACCTGGCATTATTTTCAAGAAGACTCAGAAAAGACTCAGACAAAAAAGGGATCTGTCCAAGGTCACACAGCTTGCTGATGGCAAAGGTATGCAGAGAAATCCAGGTCTTCTGATCTCCAGCCCCAGGGACTTGATTATTAACAAATGCTTCAGAAACTTTAAACTCTAATATTTAACACACTTTGGGAAGTGGCAAATAAGTAGGCAGGTTAATATACATCACCTCCTTCAGCTAGTCCTCACAAAAACAAACAAATGAACTAACAAAATGTCTCCTTGGCCCTCAAAGGAAGACACTATTTCTCAAACGTGTTTCAAAAAGAATGGGTGGGCCGGGCACGGTGGCTCACACCTGTAATCCCAGCACTTTGGAAGGACGAGGTGGGTGGATCACCTGAGGTCAGGAGTTCAAGACCAACCTGGCCAACATTGTGAAACTCCATCTCTACTAAAAATGCAAAAATTAGCAGGGGGTGGTGGCGTGCACCTGCAATCCCATCTACTCGGGAGGCTGAGGCAGGAGAATCACTTGAACCCAGGAGGTGGAGGTTGCAGTGAACCAAGATCATGCCATTGCACTCCAACAACATGATCCTAGGTAACAGAGTAAGACTCCATCTCCAAAACAAAAGCAAAAACAAAAAGTATGAGTGACTCACTCAAGGTCATGCAGCTTGTGAGGACAGTACAAGAATACAGACAAAATGTCAAAATGTTTACTACTACAGCAGTTGATCTTGATGAGTCTGACTATTTTCAACCAACAAATCAGAATCTTTCTCTCAACCAACAAATCTTCCAACCAACAAATCAGAATCAAACACTTTGTGTCCAAAGAGTTAATCCTGCAAAGGTGGAAGGCTATGAATGAATTTCCCAAAGGTTTAAAGAAGGCATCCTTCAGAGGAAATAGAACATTTCTGCAAAATTGTGTCAACTCCCTGGGTGATGGGTTTTTTTAGGCAAAATGGCATGTCTGTATTCCTGTACGGTCCTCACAAGCTGTGTGACCTTGAGTGAGTCACCCATCCTTTTTGACACATGTTCGAGAAATAGTGTCTTCCTTTGAGGGCCAAAGAAGCATTTTGTTTGTTCATCTGATTGTTTTTGTGAGGACTAGCTGAAGGAGGTGATGTACATGAACCTGTCTACTTATTTGCCACTTCCAGAGTGTGTTGAATATTAGGGTTGAAAATTTCCGAATCATTTGTCAATCATCAAGTGTATCACTTTATCATCACACCCTCTGAAAGAGAAGGCAGCTAGCACCTGACTGGGATAGGTTCTCTTCTATCTGTCTTTCTTCAGTCCTCTGGAATTGGAAAGCCCTAATTCTCTCAAAAATGTCCTTACAGATTGCAGAAGACAAGTGGCTTGCCAAGGCATGGTGGAGAGTTCCATCCTGGCCACTGCCCTCAGACGGCATTTCAAGTAAAAGCCCCACCCACAGTGTGGCTCCTAGGTAAATGTTTCTCTGACCCCAGTCTGAATTCAGAGAGAGAGTATTCTCCTGGAGAAAAGATGCTCGGGGCTCCTGTAACCTCCCTGCCCTGTGTCATTTCCCCACTGTGTCCTGAGAAGTGGCCCAGCCTGCCCTTTCTCGATATGCAGAGGGTGAGGATGGGGGTGGTCCCTGGGGCAGGAGTTATGGAGTCTAGGTCTGAATCCCCCTGTGTCATTTCCGAGCTGGGCCACCCCCACACAATGTACAGAGACTGTCTTGGTCTCAGTTTCATTATCTGATAGAGCTAATAATAGAAGCCACGTCATCGGTTACCATACAGATTGAATGAAATGCTGCACGTGATGAATCATGCCTTGACCCTGGCACTTGGGGAATACTCACACCGTGGCTTTTGTGTATGCTTCTTTACCCCAGGTAAAGTGGGAGAGATCAGGCCCAGTGAACGCCCCAGCCCCTTGCTCCTGCCGTGCACTCCCAGCCTTCCCGCTCTGTATCCTGACCCATCCTCCTTTCCCAGTCCAGTCTCAAGCCTGCTCTGACTCCAAAGGAGGGGGCTGTCAATCACTATGGCTTAGGGAGAGGAAGAAAGGGGACAGGGGAAGCTCTCTCCCTCTTCCTCACGCTTCTGGCCACAAGTCCACTCTTGGTTTCATGTTATCTCACCCAAACAGTTGGCGTCCTTATGATTTTTGCCCACAGGAAATCTCTGACTAATCTTATTCTCGGTTCTGGGTCCTCAGCATCCCCCCAGTTCTGCTTCCTAGATGAAGCTTTAAGACCACAGCACATAAAGGACTATGCCTTCCCAGTCAGCACCCACAGCTTTCATTGGAGTTCCTGGTCATCACAATTGTGTCTAGTGCCTTCTATATGCTGAGCCCTGTGCTACCAGACACTAGAGACAACAGGAGTGTCTAAGCCCCATGTAAAGGGGTTTTGGTGAAGCAGAGAGATAGGGAAACCAGGTTGTCCATGTCTTAGGAGGGACACTGCACTGCTGCAATGAGACACATCTTGTGTTGATGCTTGTAAAGCGTTTAGCACAGCCACCCATGTGGGAAGTGTTCAATAGATGTTGGCTATTTCTCAACATCGGTTAATTGCATCTTTCAGTTCTAGGATTTCCATTTGGTTCCTTTTTTGTGTAGTTGTTAGTTCTCTGCCAAAAATTCCAATCTTGTGTTTTAAATCTTTGAGTATATTCTCCATAGTTCTTTCAAAGTCTGCCCTGATTCAAATCCATGATTTGAATCCCTGCTGGATCTCCATTTATTGCCTGTTTCTCCCTGATACACAGGTCTTCTTGCACGTGCCTCATTCCTTTTTAATGACTGCTGAATACTATATATTAAACACTGTAGAGGTCATTCAAGGCTCTGAGTGATTGTTATCTGTACCCTGAGATGGTTCACTTTTGCTCCCGCTGGACAGGTAAGTCAGAAGCCTTTCAAAGCAGGTAACCTCTACCCTAGCAGGACTTGAGATCATTCAGAGGAGGGCTTCAGTACCTGTGAAGGCTGACCCAGATTTCCAAATTGGGTGGGGATTATCAGGGACCCTCCTTGTAGGTAGGATATAAGGTACAAATTTTATCTCCCCCACTAAGTTCCGTGAATGCTCAAAATCTCAGCTGAAGTTTTTGAAACCAGCACATGTGCCCAAGAGTAAAGGGCACCAGTGCTGGGCTCCACCTCACTGGGCTCAGACAGTTCCTTACAGCCTTGGCCATTCTCTGATGCCTCCAAAGAGATCTTTTGGAAATATGTTTTGTCTAGCTTTTCTAGTTATTCATAGCAGTAGAGGTGGTCATAAACAACCTAGGCCAGAGGTATCTGATGTAATCTACTGTTTTTTGCTTGTTTGTTTGTTTGTTTTTTGAGATGGAGTTTCATTCTTGTCACCCAGGCTGGAGTGCAATGGAGCAATCTCAGCTCCCTGCAACCTCCGCCTCCCGGGTTCAAGCAATTCTCCTGCCTCAACCTCCCACATAGCTGGGATTACAGGCATGTGCCACCATCCCCCCGCTAATTTGTATTTTTAGTGGAGACAGGGATTCACCACGTTGGTCATGCTGCTCTCGAACTCTCGACCTCAGGTGATCCACCCATCTTGGCCTCCCAAAGTGCTGGGATTATGGGCATGAGCCACTGTGCTTGACCCATAATCTACTTTTAAAAAATCTTATCATTCAGGACGGCTGGAGTTTGAGTGGCATTTAGAGGTAGGGGTAGGAAAAGTGATTTGAAAAGTTGGGTGAGGTCCAGAGAAGGAATGGCCTTTAATGCCACCCCAATGAGCTGGAAACTTACCTTTTAAAGAACTTAATAAGAGGGTAATGTTGTCAGGTGTATCTTATTAAGATCATGTTGGAGACAGTGGACAGATGGATTAAACTTGGATGGGGTCATTGACCCCGAAGGCAGAGCAGTGGTGCGCTGGTAAATGTTTAACAATTGAATCTCCAAGAAAAGTTTCCATTTGCCAATTTCCATGACATAATACGCCTACCACTGATAATTTCAAGCTACTGACGTGATATCACTGAATGGGGAGCTGGGGAGACATATACACAATTGGATCCTGTGGGCTGCAGCACCCCAGAGAGGCAGGAAGATTCAGCCCTTCCAAAGAGAAATTGTCTCCACATTTCTTAGCTCCAACTTCCCTCCTCCTCAGCCCAAATGGCTCACCCCACAAGTTTCACCTCCCCTTGCAGTAAACAATCCTTACTGACAAATCCAGTTTGTCGGGAAGCTTTAACAAATTTCAGTACAAACATTTTCATCTGGACCTCCTGGAGCTGCATTTGTGTCACCCAAGCACTATTTGTGAAATGTTGGCATCCAGGTTTGGGTGGACAGATGTATACCCTGCCTTGTAATGACTTCATCTCACATTTAGTGGTTTCAGCCACCACTTGAATCCTGAGTGTCACAGGACACACCACACAATATAAGCAATATTGTTTTCCAAACTTTGTAAATTTTTGCTAAGATAATGCTGCAAAGACTCCAGTTGCTCTTTCCGAGTCATGGG